GTCCTTACTTTGACTCAATACCGGTAATGTGTGTGTAGACCTGGTCCTTACTTTGACTCAATACCGGTAATGTGTGTGTAGACCTGGTCCTTACTTTGACTCAATACCGGTAATGTGTGTGTAGACCTGGTCCTTACTTTGACTCAAAACCAGTAATGTGTGTGTAGAATTGGTCCCCACTTTGTCTAAAAATCGGTTGTGTATGTGGCGGACCCCACTTCTACACAAAACCTGAAATGTCCCCACAAGTGACTACTGTGTCAGGTCTAAAAAAAAATTTGCGGAATATCCAAAATCTGAAGTGATTTCATGAAATAGTTTGTGTTTTTGTGTGGCAAACTATTTTTTTTATGTCTCTAACATCATCAGAAAGGGCGGTCCCCATTACGTAACCACCGTGACAGGTGACCCCCACAATGCACAAAAACAAGTATGTGTGTGTGTGTGTTTGTGTGTGAAAAGAGCAGGTAGAGTGTGCTTGCCAGTTTTTGCAGTTTTTGCTCAATGAAATAGTTAGTTGTCTGTATTTTCAAGTTCATTGTCTGTATTTACATTCACCCAATGGCAGACAAAATTCACGCCTTACACTATATACACTTTGATTACTTTTATATTGTTGAAATGCTGGGCATTTCACTCTGTCTCGTGCTGAAGGCAGTCAGTGTCGACCAATCACAACAGGCTGTCATCGGTCCAATCAGTGCAGATTAGCTTTGCGCTAAGGAGGGGTTTGGGAACAAATGAATCAATGGACGATTCATATGGGAGTCGCTGGAATAATTAAGTGAAAATAAATGCAGATTATAAGACCATGAAATTGTTTTTCGACCTTGCATGCTGTTACGCAAGAGCGTATTGGGTTGTTTCTATGCCGCTGTGTGTGTGTGTGTGTGTGTCTCTCTCTTTCTCTTCCTGTCCCGTTCCAGTTTCCAGGTCGTCCCACCCTAATTGGAAGTGCTGCGTGCGTGTGCTGTGGTTGGTGCTGGGAGAATGCAGCATGTTTTGAAAAGGAACCGACGGAGTCAGATCGCTTGGGGGAGGGACGGAGAGCTTTTCTAAGAATGTGGCGTTCTTGTAGAAAACATATCATAGTGCTTTTTTCTGGTTGTTTATAAATTGTAAACATTAAGGTGTTCTCCACCTTTTTCCTCTCCCCTCCATTTTTGTGACTGTCAAATACCCTGTTTGATAAAGCTGTGAGCTGAGCGCCGTAGGGGCTGAGTGCCATTTACTTTGACACTGATTTTCTCCTGTTTTTGGTTTAGTTAAGGAGTAAGGGTAGTGTTTGTAATTTATTTTCTTCACTTCTTTTTTAATCAGTAGGTAAGCTATCTTCGACAAAAAGCTTCAGGGCTCAGCAAGGCCAAAATAATAAACAAAACATTAACTAGCTCCAGTTAATGTTTTGTTTATTTTTTTGGCCTTGCTCAGCTCTGAAGCTTTTTGTTTGCGCTCATTTATTTGTTTATTGTAAATACAAACATTTTCCACCTCCTCACAATAAAAGAACCTTTAAGGTCATTTAAAAATCATAAACCTGCTAACTGTTTATTTATTTTTCTTTAACTTTTATGTTCGACTTCAGCTCTAGACATTTTTGAGGTCGTAACACGCGCGCGTGCACATACACACACACACACACATCATCTCACTGCTGCTGACTGCTCCTGCAGAGGATTCTAAGTAAATCTCTCGTCAGTCTTCAGCTCAGTTTCACTGATGATCCAGGACTAAGCCCAAACCCAGGGCAGAGCGGCTCAATGAATGTGGTCTGGACTGAGTGGATGAGGCTCATTGTGTCTCTATAGATGTTGTAGAAGTTCAGAATTCCTGCACTGTGATCCACAAACACTCCTATTCTCCTGCTGAGCGAATCCACTGGGAGATTAGTGCCTGTGTGATTGTGTCTGAATGAGAATCTGGAGGAAGAGCAGCGCAAACTCCAGGACTGAGCATTAGATCCAAACACACACTTATCACCTCCTCCCTTCCTCCTGATGCTCTTATATGACACTGACATATCCACACCATCATCTCCACTCCAGTCAATCTCCCAGTAACAGCATCCACACACACTTTCTCTGCACAACACCTGAGGATAAAGACCATCAAATCTGTCTGGATGATGAGGATATGGCTGATTCCCTCTCACACGCTTCACCTTTCTGTTCTCCTCAGACAGAATGAGATGAGTGTGTGCTGTGTTTGGATCCAGAGTGAGGAAACAGACATCTGAACACAAGAACACACAAATTTATAATCACAGCTGTGTGTGTGTGTGTGTGTGTACGTGTTTTTGTGACATATCAGGACACAAATCTGTGTAATGACATGTTCATGACACAGGTATAAAAAAGGAGGTGCAATATGAGGACATTGGTGACGTCCTCATTTCTCAAAAACCTTATAAATCCTAAAGGATAAGTTTAATCAGAGAGTAAAGCTGCACACAGTCTCCTGTGATGGTTGGGTTTAGGGGTGGGGTGGGGGCAATATAATATACAGTTTGGACAGTATAAAATGAATCGAAACCTATGTAATGTCCCCACTTTTCACAAAAACAAATGTGTGTGTGTGCGTGCATGTGTGTGTGAGCATGTGTGCGTGCGTGAGTGAGTGCGCATGTGTATGTATGTGAGAGAGAGAGAGTGTGTGTGTGCAGTGTGTGTGTGTGCGTGCGTGCATGTGTAGTCCTACATTTGCGCGGTCCTGCTGTAATCCGCATGTGTCCTCCATGATCCAGACTGTAAACACACACAGATGGAGAGAATGAGCTGTTTAGTTTCCCCCTCAGCTAATAAGCTAAAGCTAGCACTGAGCTGCTCAGCTACACGCTCCAAACTCTTGAGCTAAAACACACAACACTTGTTGGTTGAGCCGGGATGCACAATGAATGTAACACAGTGCGTTCTTTTCCTCTGCTGTTGGTGAAGCGAGCGCAGATACTGCTCATGTTGATGGAGACACCCTGCTGCAACATTCATTTATTACAGTGATCACACTTAGCTTTGCCATCGTTCTTCAGCACATGCAGCCTTTGAGCACATGTTGCAGTCCATCTCTAAACTATGTTCAGATTATTAAAGCTGCTCGCCAGCGCCCAAGTTCCTGACAGATTAGCAAGTGAAAAATACACGTGTGCACAGAGAAGAGGAATCCAGATGTTGATTTTAGAACAAGAGTCTGAACATTAATCCAAGTGTCTGATTCCAGAATCTGAATCCATCTTCAATCCCAAACCCTATTCCTGACCTGATATTGTATGATTCTTCAGCAGAAATGGAGGAAGAAGTTTCTCTGCTCAGCTCAAATGCTGAAACTGTACAGTGTGTCCCGCTTAATGTCACTGTAACTGAGCCAGTACACTTCAACATTTACAGAGGAGATTCATTTCACACTCAAAGATTTGCTCTTCATAGACATGACTGGAATACTCTACAAGCTGTATCTTCTGTCTGTCCTCACCCCATAACCCTCACAGAAAACTGAAGCTGATCACAAAAGAGCTTTGTCCTCTTAAAGCCATTTAGTGCAAAAGCACAAGACCAGTGATGCTTCACATACTTGAGTTTGTCCAGTGTGTAGTTTGGATCCTCCAGTTGTTCAGAGAGCAGCTTGACTCCTGAATCTCCTGGATGATTGTAGCTCAGATCCAGCTCTCTCAGGTGTGAGGGGTTTGAAGTCAGAGCTGAAGACAGAAAACCACAGCCTTCCTCTGTCACCATACAGCCAGACAATCTACAAACACAGCAATAGTCCACATCACACAGTTGGACAATCACACATCTCTTTGTGTTGTGAAGATGCTGACTGCTGTTTCTGCTCATGTCAACAGCAGTGATGAACACACACATCCTGATTAGCTCTCCTTATTGATTGAGCCCTCGCATCAGCTCACACACTCAACAAGGACTCGACATCATCTGTAGAAGTGTACAGAGCAAAGACATTGTTCATAATACACCACATCAAGCTGTAAAGTCTGCTGTGAGGAGGAAGAAGATACACTTGAGCTCAGAAGATCATCTTAAAGTCATGTATTAAACACAACAGGAAATGAGCTGATTTCATCATTTATATTGTGATTCTGTTGTGGACTAAAACAAAATGAGCTCAGACAAACACAAAGCCGCTCTCTTCATGTGTTCATCACCTGACCCACAGTCACATTCACACTGATGCTCCATTAGGGGACTTTTATTGTGTCAGGAGAGAAACACCTGATCAATATTCATGACTGCTGACTCTCCTTCACATTCAGCCTTTACCAGATATTGTTTTAGATGAGCGAGTAATCAGGATTATTTCACACACTTTATCATGAGACTTTTATTTGTTTTCAAGAAACTGAAACTGCACAAATATGAGAGCAGCTCAAACCTTCAGCAGGACACAAAACAGCTTCACTAGCGTTTAACTCTGCTGCTTTCACACCTCCAGATCCACTGTTCTGCTCTGAAACAGGATTAACACTGGTATAATGTTTATTTGTGTTCTTGCTGCGCTTCACTTTCACACAGAAAGTGATTTTGAATGTTGACACCCACAGACAGTCACAAACAGTGAACTAAGACTGCAACTATTAGTGAAATCTATATTAAAGGTCTTAAATATGATTTAGATTTACAGTAATTGTTTTTCATGTTTAAATCTGATTTATTCTTGTGTTTAAAGCGTTTGTCATTCCTCTACTTCAGTGTCTCAGACTCATTCAGAAATGATTATTAAATGCTGGATTAATGCACAAGAGAGTTTGGCGAACACGTTTTACACCATTTCAAATATATATTATATGTGCGGCTGTATAAGTCACATACAGCGCTCAGCATAATGGAGGACCGCCCATTCTGAAAACCAAGACTTTCCTTCATTTCTCAGTCAATATAGGCAGTGTATTCTGCTGCATTTAAACAGGACACATTTATTAAACAGATTTATTCATGACAATCATATTTTAGTCGCCAAACATATTCAGAAATTGAAAGATAATGCAATTAAAGTCAGGCTAAAATTGCAAAAAAAAAAAAAAACTACAAAATGTCACCTAAATTTTTCCATTGTTTTGCTTCTCTTGTTTTTTCCTCTTATTTTAATTTTGTATTCAATAATTTTCTATAACATATATTTGAGTGTACTAGTTTTGGACCGTTATCATGAGTTGTTTTGTTAGATGAGCTCCAGATTTGGCTAATCTATTGTATATGCACAAATATATTATTGTAGAGCTTCCTATTAAAATAAATATGAATTTAAAAGAGAGATTAGTGAGGGGTGTACTTATATATGCATTGCTGTACACTGCCCTTGATGGGTAAGTGGGGGAGTGTCTGTTGTCTCTCAGGTGTGAATAATTCATGAGCATTGTCACTCACACAAACAGCTGAGATCACCCAAAACACACTTAACAAAATGTAGATCATTGTAATGTTTTCTTTTAATGAGAGAACAGAATATTTTCACATAATTATGTAGTAAATATTTTAGTTTACAAGACTGCTTACTCTAAAGACTTGTTCAGGCACATTCAGTGTGGTTTATGGAACTTATTTCAGCTTTTTTCTCTCAAACTTACTAACCACACATATTTGTTTTCTAAAAAACACAAGTATGTACATCAATATTTCTCACATATTATTGTAGCTCAGTTTGTGCTGAATAGAAATAAAACACATGTTGGCCAGTTCTGTGTAATAAGTAGCTGAAATTAGCACAGATGGCATGTCAAAACATCTCAGGGGTCCCAAAACCACTTCAGACCCCTGAGGGTTAACTACAGTTATAGTATGAGCAGTGTGAAACACAATTACTGATAAAACAAAATTCCTGTTATCTTGGTTTAGTATCACCCAGGGTTAACATGTTCAAGCATGAAGAGCTCTAATATGAAGCTGTCTGACTGTAGTTATTGTAGAGTGGAGAATCATTTACCTCAGTGTCTCCAGTTTACAGTTCACACTCTTCAGTCCATCAGAGAGAAGCTTCACTCCTGAATCCTGCAGGTCATTGTTACTCAGGTCCAGCTCTCTCAGCACACAGTTTGAGGATTGTAGAGCTGAAGACAAACTCTTACAAGAATCGGCAGTGAGTTTACATGTCATCAATCTGAGAAAGAACACACATTACTAAAACACACTGTTAATGTGATCTGTCTGATGTAACAAAACAAAAAAAAAAATCAGTCAATCAATCAATCAAATCATATAATCAATCAGATGCTTAAACTCAGACCTCAGTGTCTCCAGTTTACAGTGTTGACTCTTCAGTCCATCAGAGAGAAGCTTCACTCCTGAATCCTGCAGGTCATTGTTACTCAGGTCCAGCTCTCTCAGCACACAGTTTGAGGATTGTAGAGTTGAAGACAAGCTCTTACAGGACTGAACTGTGAGATTACAGAACTGTAGCCTGTGTAGAGGACAAACACAATATGTATGTGTTGATCTGGTGTGTTTAATAGTCTGAAGCACATCTCACTGGAGTGACTGGTTTAACTTCACTCGTTGGTGAGCACATCTGCTGATTTTAGCTTTAAATAGTATTAATGTCTATAAAACACAATTAAATGGCTTCCTTCAGATGTTCCAATAGCCCAACTCTTTATTTAACACCTATCACAGAAAAACAGGATTTTTAAAAATAGTTGTATTTATTATTATTTTAATAAACAAACTAATGACAATAATTTTCTGTAGCATCTTTAAAAGTTGCACCTCAAATCACTTTTTAAAATAAAGAGAAACAGATGCATATATAACAGAAATATAGAAGATAAATAAATATTTCTTTGTGTGTTTTTGTTTCTAAAGATTCCTCCATGTCAGTGATCAGGACTGTCTGCCCTGTAATCTTGCCTGCAACTCCTCAGCCTTATCCAGCCATGTACACCATATCAGTTGCTCTAGTACAGCAGTTTCAATCTTCTCTAGTATATCAGACACAGTTTTTAGCACTAACGTTATGTTGTAGCGAGGACATAAACAAGGATGTAAACAATGGGAAATGCTGTTTGGCACCGCTAACAATTCAGATAAAAATTCATATTTATCCATTAAACCGCTGTAAACACACACAATTTTCAGCAGTGCTGCAGTGTCTCTCTATGCGGACGCTTTCCCTGTGCTCTACATCTCAGACAATGAACTCACAAAAGATATGAGAATGTTTCATATTACTCACACATGCTTATTCTGAACATATGTGAAAGACACTTGTCAGATGATAGTTTAGAGAGCATGCGTGACCTTCAGCTGTGTCCTCTGTGTCATTTTCTGTCTGATTCAGGCTCACACTGACATGGCTAACAGCTACTCTGACTTGAAAAGATGACTTGAAAATGAACTGCACAAATATGAGAGCAGCTCAAACCTTCAGCAGGACACAAAACAGCTTCACTTAAGCGTTTAACTCTGCTGCTTTCACACCTCCAGATCCACTGTTCTGTTCTGAAAGAGGATTAACACTGGTATAATGTTTATTTGTGTTCTTGCTGCGCTTCACTTTCACACAGAAAGTGATTTTGAATGTTGACACCCACAGACAGTCACAAACAGTGAACTAAGACTGCAACTATTAGTGAAATCTATATTAAAGGTCTTAAATATGATTTAGATTTACAGTAATTGTTTTTCATGTTTAAATCTGATTTATTCTTGTGTTTAAAGCGTTTGTCATTCCTCTACTTCAGTGTCTCAGACTCATTCAGAAATGATTATTAAATGCTGGATTAATGCACAAGAGAGTTTGGCGAACACGTTTTACACCATTTCAAATATATATTTTATGTGTGGCTGTATAAGAACAGAATATTTTCACATAATTATGTAGTAAATATTTTAGTCTACAAGACTGCTTACTCTAAAGACTTGTTCAGGCACATTCAGTGTGGTTTATGGAACTTATTTCAGCTATTTTTTCTCTCTAAAACTTACTAAACACACATATTTGTTTTCTAAAAAACACAAGGATGTACATCAATATTTCTCACATATTATTGTAGCTCAGTTTGTGCTGAATAGAAATAAAACACATGTTGGCCAGTACTGTTGTCACACAACCAGCGATCGCTTTCCAGAGATCGCTGGTTCTCACACGAACTCTCAGGACTTCCGCATTCCCCAGGACTACACATTCATACATGCACTGCTCCCAGACACACACGCCTGCTCAGTCATCTATCCTGATTGCATCACCAGCTGGACCTTGTTCACAGACTGATTCCACTCCATTCATAAGCCACTCATTGACGCTACCAGTTTGCTGAGTCTTGTTTGCTTCTTAGTAACATTACAACGCATTTCCCTGTCTTGTTTCTCTGTGTTTCGATCCTAGCCTAGTACCCGTGTTATCCTGTTTAGCCGCCTGCCTTTAGACCTATTGCCTGTTATATTGACGACGATTCTGGACTGCCTTAACATACCCGTTTGCACCTGATTTGACCATTGCTTGCCTGACTTTGAATAAACTGCATATTGGATCTTACCTCCTGTTGTCTCCTGTCACTCCACCCCAATCGTGGTAACAACTGTGTAATAAGTAGCTGAAATAAGCACAGATGTCAGGGCATGTCAAAACATCTCAGGAGTCCCAAAATCACCTCAGACCCCTGATGGTTAACTACAGTTATAGTATGAGCAGTGTGAAACACAATTACTGATAAAACAGAATTCCTGTTACTCTGCAGCTACTCTGACTTATAGGATTTACACAGCGCAAAAAAAGCGTGCTTGTAGAGCTGTGACACTTTTCCTGGTGACGTGGAGCCGATCAGTGAATCACAGCACAATAGGCTAGCTGACCAATCAGAACCTCTTGAAGACGGGCCTTTCAGAGGAACTAGGAAATAGGACATTCCCCATCTAGGGAACTTCAACACTGCGTCTAACCAGAACGCTAGGGGAACACCTCTTTTATAAGCGTCTTGAAGCACATGTGAAATCAATCTAATGTAATTAAGCAGGTGTCGTCAGACCAGAGTATAAAAGCCTGTACTGAGCATTCAGTATCAACTTCTTTGCTTTCAAGAAGCACGCATGTGAAAATACACCCTCTTTCTGTGAACTTTCATTACTGACTTGCATACACAAAGTACAAAAAAACTGACAGCTTACTTTTTTATTTTGATATGGCAGAAAAAAAACTTTAAACGTTGTGTGCCTCCATGCCCTCGCTTTATTACGGCTGGTGACTCAACTGATTTGTGTTTAGAGTGTTTGGGAGAGGAGCGTGCCCTGGCAGCATTTGAGAATGCTGACAGTGGACACTGTGACGCTCTCTCCCGTAAAGTGCTGCGTAGTCGGAGGGAGTTCTTTAATAAAGCTCCTGTGGCGCGCTTCTCGCGGTTCAGGTCCCGCTCGTGCTGAGGCTGAGCGTCGACTTCGGTCGTGGGGTTTGCAGCTAGATCTGGCGGATGAGATGGAGACGGACTCTGTCCTCTCTCTTTCTGGATTCGTGAGATCTAATCCTCCTTCGGGAGCGTCAGAAGCACGCTCTGCGGTTTCTTCTGCGCCTCATGGGAGGGCGGCGTCCTCCGTTTTTGTGGAAACAGAGGCGCCGCAGCAACAAATGCAAAGAGGGTCGGGGAATCTGCCGCTCCAGTCAGTGGAATATGAGGAGTTAGTGGAGGTGATTTCACATGCTGCTGACAAGTTTGAAGTAATAGATTGGCAGCCAGCACGTGAGCAGAAGCAGCTGCGACTGACAGGAATGCTGGATGAGAGAGAATTAACCAGCAGAGTAGATCCTCCACTAAGGGACCTCCCCTTTTGTCACGAGCTACATGATGCGGTTTCTAAATCTTGGAAAAATCCGTATTCAGCACGGTTAATGACACCAAAAACAGCTATTTATTCAGCAGTTCGTGGGCTAGGGGAAAGGGCATGTACAGTAATGCCAATTATAGAAGAGCGCGTCGTCTTCGTCCAGATCTAAAATCTGCAAGGGTACCTCCTTTGTCGTCTAGACCATTAAGAGTATCGGGTCTAGTCGGCAAAGCATATATGACGGCTGGTCAGTCTGTTGGATGTCTGCACACCATGTCAGTGCTGCCGGCATATCAGGTTGACCTAATTAAAGAGTGCCTAGATGGTGGGGGAGCGACACCCGAACAGCTTCGAGAAGCTCTTCGGGCGTCAGATCTAGCTTTAAGAGCTACTAAAGAGGCAGCCTCTAGTTTGGGGCGATCTTTGGCTACCCTGGTGGCTACTGAGTGGCACCTCTGGCTGACACAAGCAGAAGTGTCAGAAACCGATAGAGCTATTTTTATGGACGCTCCAATATTGAGCTCAGGACTCTTCGGTGACGCCGTCGAATCCTTCGACAGAGTTAAAAAACGTTCTAGCTCCCTCGAGGACTTTCTCCCCCCAAGATCAAAAACCCGAAATTACACGAAACTCTGGAGGAAATGTGGATAGCGCAGTGATACGATGACAATCATCAAATTATGTGCTATAACATGTAAAACGGGATCATGAAAGGAACATTCAAAAAGCAGCTCATGTAAACACCTTAATCTTACTATTGTCTTAATTAGATTAAGGCAAATAATTCCATTACTGATGTCCATGTAAACATAGTCAGTGTTACCTGATAATTATCAGCATAGAGAAGGTCAAAATAGACAGAATAACATCAGTGTGATCATTCCACTCTTACCAGAAAAGACTTTTAAGGTACTGAATAACTTTTATTCCGCCAATAGACAATGCAATTTACTGGTTTATTTGCTGATTCTTAAGAGATAATTCTCCCAAAAATTTACTTGCCCTCAAGTGGTTCTAAACCGTTATGACCTTTTTATTCTGCTTAACCGAAAATATTTTTTATGACAGCTGAAAACCATTAGCCATTGACCTACATGGTATAAAAAACAACTGGTGTGTAAGTCAAGGTTAGAGGTTGAAGCTTTCTCCAAATTATCTTCTTTTATGTTCGACAGGAAAAACAGTGTTTTAGAAAGGTTTATAACCATTTAAGAGTGAGTAAATTTACTTTTTGGGTGAACTACTCCTTCTATGGTCAGGTATGCATCTCAAACTCTTTAATTTATCTTTTTGTAATTGATGTTGGATTTTTACAGTCTCATCTTTGAATTGGTTTTATGTTTAATTATGTAATTGACATAACACAATTTTACCTGACAAATAAAATGTTAAGTTTTAATTCATTCTGAATTCTCCTGAAATCTTTTTATATCCAGTAGATTAAGTGGAGTCTGCGCTACCTTTATGATTCGACATGATTACAATTTTGATTCTAAAGAAACTTTTGACTCATATAATTAGTGCGCCAGTAAAGCATACACTCAATGCATCACTTAGCGGGTTTCAACAAAAGTTTCTACATCTTGTTTATATACACTATGAACAGCAGCTACGCTAATTATTAATTATTTTCTTTATTCTCCAATTCCACCTAGGGATACTCATCCCGAGGTTCTTAGATTTTGTGGAGTCACTGATTGGACCCAAGACCAGCGACGAGATGATCTCAAGGATTCCATATCCAGGACCAGACCGTATCCTGAGCTGCTGCTGCGCTGTTGGTCATGGGGGAGTGGAGAGTATGAGACTGATTACAGTGACGCTCCAGGGACAGACGAGTCTTCGCTAAGGCCAGCTTCCAGCCTCCACTGCTGAGACTGCAGCTCTGCACAAGACTTTTGGCCAGCGGAGAAATTAAAATGGTCGTGCCGAATTGAGTCTGGTTCTCTCAAGGTTTTTTTCTTCACTCTCCTATTGGTGAAGTTTTTTTTCCCTCTCCGGTGTCGCCACTGGCTTGCATGGTTCAGAATCTGAAAAGCTACTCATAGATGAATTTGCTCTTCAGTGTTTGAACTCTCAATAATGACTTCAAACCACACTGAACTGAGCTAAACTCAACTTAAACACTAAAAACTGAACTACCCTGATCCTGTTACTATGACCATTTATGTGAAACTGTTTTGACACAATCTACATTGTAAAAGCGCTATACAAATAAAGCTGAATTGAATTGAATTGAATTGACTGTACAGAGTCGTTTTGACACGACAGCATGGAGATCTTAAATCATCTAATCATTGAAATTAGCAAGTTGTCTGGAAGTGGCTGAATCAACTACTCTTTTTGGATGAATGAGCAGTTTGCAACCAGACTATTTAAGTATTAGCTAACCCTACATCCTCTGTCTAACTTTAAGATGTTGACATACTGTCTGTGAGAAGACATGCAAATCAGGGGTGTCTAAGTATGGAACCAGATTAGTCTCAAAAGAAATTCACGCAAAAGACACGATGTACACATGCGTAGTCAAATTCACATGCATAAAACCAAATTCACGTGCGTAAAATATATATATATATTCACAAAAAAAATTTCACGTGCACAAAATAAAAATACACCCGCACGTATCCAGGGGGAGTCGTACATGAAAGAGGATTTGCACATTCTCATTTAGGATCAACTTACAAGTTTTAAACATTCAAAACTTCTTGTACACTCTTATACATTTGCAAATGTTGTTTTGCATTTGTGAAACGTATTTTATGAAAATTTATTTTTATTTTTTTGCGTGAATTTCTTTTGAGACTAATCTGATTCCATATCTAAGCAACATTTTATTCCTTAATGAATGTATAACTGAAGAGTAAGGGAACATATATAGAACAAAACTCTAAATTAAGTCATAAATGATAAATGTGATCCATTCATACAATTCGAAATACAGTCTAAATTTTAGGATCACATAAATTGGAGTCAGATTAAATTCAGAGATAAAAAATGTATATAAATAAATTCGAATAAATAACAAAATTTTTTCAGAAGCACTAGAAAAGGCTTAAATGCATTTAAATTAGTGCTGTGAATCGATAAAAAAATAACTAATTAATCACACTTTTTTTTAAAAATGAATCGCGATTAATCGCATTTAAAAGACTGAAACTTGTAATTTTGGCCATTCGAATGTAAAATTAATGTAAACGCAAGATAAATACTACTTAAATTCAAAATATAATTCATTATTAGAATTTTTTTTAACTTGTAACACAGATTTCTTCATGTAAACAACATACCCACAATAAACCATCAAGAACCTGGCTTGGCAGCCATATTTGTTGCAGAAATTAAAACACAGGCATGTTAATGCCATTTGAATTTTAAAACAATCAATGCCAATAAAGAAAACATTGATTTCCATGTTGGATTCTAAGTGGACTGCAAAAAAAAAAAAAAAAAAAAAGCCAAAATACAAATATTATAGATATGGAAAATGGAAAATTATAATAACAATAAAGCTTTGAATACAAACAATTGTACTCATCGCATGGCTGGACTGGGACAAAATAATCGGCCCTGACATTTTGGGCCAGAGTGGCCCACTACATCAATCAAAATGCTCCCCATCACCCCACGCCCTTAAATATGTTTACCAACTTCCACTCTATAAAAGCACAAAAGCCATATATAGGAAATAACGAGAGTTGACAAATTAAAAACTTATATATTTTTTATTTATTATTATAATAAAATTATAATCCACTCTGGAAATGTGGGTGCCTGTGTGTTTTGAGGGAGCCTAATAAATAATGAACATGACAAAAACTGACGTACACAGTTAATGTTGATTAATAAAATAAAGATAAATAAAAAAAAGCAATGTGTCAGAGACCCTTAAAAAATGTTTGACTCAACAATGAAACATCAAATGTAGCTAAAAGCTTTTACATTGTCAATCAAATTATCTTAAACAATTAAAAAATGCAAAAAATATTTGTTTGGGCCCGAACTACAAAACTAAATGTAAAAAAAAAATTGCTTAAGTTGCACACTAGTTTGGTCATGTATAAATATCACTATAACCATATTGTATAAATATTATTGTCACTATAACCCTACATCATGCAGACGATCAAAAACACAATGTCATAATATCTCATGCAATTGTCTTCTGACTGAGTACATCTTAAAATTTATGACTGACACTCCTCATAGAGCTTGAGAAGCAGACATTCTTTATAATTTTTAAAATAAAGACTTGCAGGTTAAGGAAACAGCAGGAGGAAGTTGCCGCGGGCCGTGGTGCAGATTAAAACTAAAAAAGTATATTTATATGGACAGAGAGGTAACTAGATAGAATAGACAGGAATATATTGATCTGTGTTCCGCTGCATGCTGCAGAGTGCAGATGCGAAAGGCAAGTGCCTGCTCTCCGCTTCTGCTCTCTCGCGCATGAGAAACAGGACTGAATCTCGACTATTTTGACAAATACACACCTACGTTACACAGAGCCCAACATGGAAGTTTGTGATTGGGTCAGCCCAAAGTCAATAAAGAAAAGAACCAATTGGCTGCAGATTTTGTCACATGGCTGCTCTGTCCGGAAAAGAAACATCTTACTTTCAGAGCATGACAGCTCACAGGAGTGTGACAGCATGTCAATCACTTAGGCAGAAAAACATGAAAGTCTGCTTAGTGTTTTATGGGCCGATCAGATCATAAGAAGATGATCAGCCCGGCCCAAAAAGTACGTCGACCAAGCGGGAAACTGCCCGGTCTGCCCCTGGCCACAACAGGAAAAAAAAACTGCGTTAAATTTTTTTTTCTTTTTTTTAAAATCAATCGCATGCGTTAACACGTTAATATTGACAGCACTAATTTAAATGCATTTAACCATGCATTTAATGAATTTGACCATGCTGTTAGTTTCGTCATTGGGCTAATAGATGGACTTCTACAGATGAAAGAAAAGAGGACTTTGACTTACAGAGCTCTTTTGGAGGTGTTGATGACTGCTGATAGTCTGATGAGACACTCGTCTGATCTCTGGAATTTCTGAAGCTCAAACTCCTCCAGCTCCTTCTCTGAGGTCAACAACAAAAAGGCCAAAGCAGACCACTGTGCAGGTGAAAGACGAGCAGATGACAGACTTCCTCTACTGAGGTGAGACTGAATCTCTTTCAGCAGAGTTTGGTCGTTCAGTTCATTCAGACAGTAGAACAGATTGATGGATCTCTCTGGAGACAGATTTCCTGCAAGTTTCTGCTTGATGTAGGCAATTATTTCCTTTTTGCTCTGGTCTCTGTCATCCTGCTGTGTCAACAGGCCTCGTAAGAGTTGTCGATTAGACTGGAGTGATATACCGATAAGAAAGCGAAGGTAAAGGTCCAGATGTCCATTCTCACTTTCCAGAGCCTTGTCCACTGCAGTCTTCAGGAAATCGGTCAAGCCTTTATTTTTGCTAATTTGTATAAAAAACCCTCCATGCTTCTTGTTTTCTAGAAACAGATGTTGATAAAGGGCTGCAATGAACTCCTGAATGCTCAAGTGAAGAAAGCAGTACATGGTGCCAAGAATGATTCCCGTCTCCTTCTTAAAGATCTGGGTACACATGCCTGAGTACACCGATGCCTTATAGACGTCAATGCCACAGTCTTTCAGATCGCTCTCATAGAAGACCACATTGTTTCTTTCCAGCTGCTGGAAGGCCAGTTTCCCCAGTGAAAGGATGAGGTTTGGATCCCAGGAGACAACTGGTGTGTTTTCTCCATCATACTTTCTTCTGCTCTGCTGGATCTGAAAGCGGAGAAAGTGTGTGTACATCTGTGTCAGAGTCTTGGGAGATTCCTGCAGCGTTTCAGCATGAGCCCTGTGTTTCAGTTTCAGTATGTTCTGGAGAACAGTGGCTGAAATCCAGCAGAAGACTGGGATGTGGCACATAATAAAGAGACTCTTTGACTGTTTAATGTGATCAATGATTTCTCTGGCCTGATTCTGATCTGTGAGTCTCTTTCTGAAGTACTCCTCCTTTTGGGTATCATTGAATCCTCGTATCTCTGTCAGCCGGTCGATACAGTCAGCAGGAATCTTACTGGCAGCTGCTGGTCTGCTGGTGATCCAGATGAGAGCAGAAGGAAGCAGATTTCCCTTGATGAGGTTCGTCAGGAGAACATCCAGAGAGACTGCTGAAGATACATCACGACACGTCTCATTACCAGCAAAGTTCAGAGGAAGACGACATTCATCCAATCCATCAAGGATGAACAGGACTTTGAATCGTGTGCTTCTTGTAAGGTTCAGTCCTTTAGTCTCTGGGAAAAACTGAGTTATGAGGTCTTTTAAACTTTGTCTTTCTTTCTTCTTTAAGTTCATCTCTCTGAATGGAAGAGGAAATATGAAGCTGATGTCTTGATTTTCTTTCCCTTCAGCCCAATCCAGAACAAACTTTTGCACAGAGACTGATTTCCCGATGCCAGCAACTCCTTTTGTCAGGACAGTTCTGATCTGCTCGTCTTGTTCAGGTGCTTCAAACAAATGTTTGCATTCAACCTGTATCTCTAGTGACTGATGACGTCTGGAAGCAGCTTCAATCTGTCTGATCTCATGTTCAGTGTTGACCTGTTCACTCGCACCCTGAGTGATATAGAGATCTGTGTAGATGTTATTCAGAAGTGTGGAGTCTCCTTGCTGAGCAATTCCTTCAAACACACTTTGATATTTCTTCTTCAGGCTACATTTAAGCTGATTAATGAAGAACAGCTCATCTAAACACAGGAGCAAAGACACAGAGAGATTTAGTCTTGACTTATTTGTAAGTGTCAGTCTAACAGATCGCCATGAGTAGGGCCAGACAGAACTTTCAGACATTTTTTTGCTATTTCTGAGGAGAATTGTGTAGTATCATAACTAAAAACTTAAGATATGGGAAAAAAAAATTTCAACATATAAAATAATATTTAAAGTTTACATACAAATCCAATTAGATCCACTTAATTGGTAAACAAAGCACAAGACTCATATAACAGATCTACTAAAGGACAGAAAATATGACTTTACAAACTGCACTGTAAATAAATCATGAACATTTTTATATTAGTCAACAATATTACTGAAATTAATAAACTGAATGAATATAAATGTACACGCATCTACACAGGTAAATAAATAGACTCAATGATGGGCTAAACATCTGTGTAAATCTGCAGGTTTCGTGTGGGTCTATCCATGAGTCTCTTACACTGGAGAGTATCAGCAGCTTGATCTTGCTTCATCTCTCTCAGGAAGAAGAGTGTGAGATCAAGAGCTGCTTCTGTGATTCTGCTTCTGTTCTCATTAAACTCCTTTACAAACTCTTGTCTGTTTTCTTCTTGTAAGATTTTCTTAAATTTCTCCAGTTCATTCTTCAGAAATCTGATCATTTTACTCTCAAGATTCTATGAGTGAAGAGAAGAGAAGATCAATATTTAACCAAAATATTAATTCACACACAGTTGTACATCCACAATCTACTCAATAAATGAAAATACATTATAATACAGTATACTATGAGTCTGTTAAATTCTTGATTCTGATTAGCTGATGAATATTCAAAGGTTATTTTCAGATAAACACATAGTTAAAGTACATCCAAGCAGGTTTTGAGCACATTACACTTAAGGGGGTCTCACACTGGATGCCCCACTCAGTGCTGCGACACAGTACAAACATGACAGCTGGAAGATTCACACACCAGAGGCACACTTTCACATGTTATTTAAAATAAAACTATTCAGATGGTGCAACAGAAAAATGAAGTGTCCTGAGTCAGAGCTAGGCACCCTAATAGAAATCTGGTGTGTGACCCCCTTTACATATCACTACTGCTGAATGATTTCAGATATTTCACAGCTACAAAAGACAAAAATCACACCAAAGCACAACACAGTCTTTGAGTAAGATGTTAAAGAGACTAGTCCTACACACAATGTAGTCCTGTTTTAACCAAGCCATCTGTGTTTATACGTCTATTACACTGATATATGGAGAAATTGACTCTGGTCTGTTGAATTATTAGAGAGTAATGCACACCAGATATATGAGGTCAATCTCCTTAAAAAGAGCTGAAATACTCATTTTGATCATGTTAATGGGACAAACACAGATCTGAACAGTAAAGGTTATTACCATTATTATTTGTGTACATTCATGATTACAACTAAACTATATGTTCTTGTAAAATGAGTAAAACTGACAGGGAGTCGTTTCTCTTTCTGTGTCTTCTGTCAACATGACTGGCAAACATGTCAGAGAAAACAGCTGAATCTTCAGGAGCAAACTCATTTAGAAAACAAATGCTCTTTATTTTAGAAATCTGTATGAAAAGAGTGCAAAGCAGAACTCTGAGCTCATCAGCCGGCTAATCACATGACGAGTATTTTAAGAGTGTTTTGTGACCATCCTGAAATTACAGAGTGTGTTTCTATTGGGGACTAATTCATCATCTCCTCCCGTCTGTTTCTACTGGGCTGTTTGTCGTCTCCAGCCTGCATTTCAGAAATGTGTTAAATAAGACCCTCCTCACCTCACGCCTCTTGTGCACACGGTAACGCTTAAATAATGTACATTCATTATTATATATCATGTAAAATATCTCATTGTTTACAATAATATTCCCTCAACCGTCACCATTTTAAAGCACAGTTCTGTATGGCTCAAAATAAGCTGCTGCATGAATGAATGAGATGATGAAGAATGATGAAGATCTGCTTATGCATTAATGTGTCCTTTCTGCAAGAGATTTACTATTACTTTCAAAAGTCAATCTCTGCAAATGATGTGATATGAAGATACGGTATGCATGTCTGAGACAACGTCTTAGAAGAAGCAGAAACATTAGGTAATTCCAGAAAGACATAACAATAATAATAATAATAAATATAATACATTAATACATATAGAAATAGAAGCAGAAAAAGTTGCTATAACCAGAAAACAATTATTTGCCGAAATTGAAAATTAAGTGGAAATCATGAGAAATGAAGTAGTGATCACAAGAAAACAAGAGAGAAAATATATTTTAATGCATGACCCTCCATAGATTAAGACTATTTTGCAGACGTTTTTAGTTGTGTGGTTACAAGGATACAAGATACAGTTCTCAAAAGTCTTGTGAAGAAATATTTGTATGTTTCATGGAGTTATTTCAGTGATTTTATGACTCAAAATAAGTTTTTACTACCTGGAAGATCCACTGGAGATTGTCTGTGAAGCTCTTGTGTCTCCTGTGAGTCTCGTCTCCTGAATCTGCTGACTCATATTCATCACTGTTAACAGATAAAACTACTGTAATTATACATTTACAGGCAAACACACCTCTCACCACAGCAGAATGAACTGCCAACTATTCCAGCATATGTTTTACACAGCGGCTGCCCTTCCAGCTGCAACCCAGTACTGGGGTACACCCATACACTCTCATTCACACACACACACACACACACACACACACACACACACACTCACACTATGGCCATTTTAGTTTATTCATTTCCCCTATAGCGCATGTATTTGGAGTAATAAGATTAGAAACTAAATCTGCCACCTGGAGTCTGTAAATGTCTTAATGAGCCGATAAAGTCATTCAGGAATGGCTCTCTTTACTGGATTGTTGGTTCACAATAACATGTTTGAAACAGTTCATGTGTGAGCAATAATGTAAAACACTGAATACCTTTGTGCAGATGATGGTGTTTCCTCTTTGAAGTTTGGTGGATCCTCTTTAGACCAGTCACTCTTCAGAGACACAGAGCTGGACACACATGATCCTGAAGTCACACTGAACACACAAACACAACAGAGGAAAAATAAGTGTCTCTTTGTAGCAAAATTAGCCCATAAGGGGAATTATGAATGATTAATCACTCACAGGCTATAACGTTATTTTTCACTTGTATTGCCTCTTCCTGTACCAGCTGAATGTGTGTTAGATCAGTTTCTGTGTTCAGTGAAGTTAATGAAGCATTTCTTGCATCACACTTCAAACTGTTCATTATTTGCTCTTTAACGAAATCTTGCAGAATACTCTAAATTGTCATGCCTTGCCCCTCTCAGGACGGCAGAAGATAACAGGATTTATCAAGCTAGTAGATTTATTGATAAACACTTGCATGGAGGACAGAGGAAATCCCCAATCTCTGAATTAATCTAGATTAAAATGGCTCATTTGAATTCTGTTGAAGGCATTCAGAATATATGTGTGCTACCCAAATAATAAGTCTTTGAGCCAGATGGCGCATTAGACCAGGGGCTCATTTCCTGTTTCCAAAATGCATCACAAACTGCTGGAGAAACTGTTCTACTCTAATAATTGGTGATGAAAATAAATTATGTTCAATAAGATGTGCTTGTGTTTACTGTTTATGCAGTTAAACATGAGTTTCGAACTGTAGGCCTAAATAACCGCCAAACAGCCATTTCTGATTACCTTAATCTGACTAAACTTTGTACAGTCATTATGGTGGACTTGAACAGACTTTCAACATGTCCTGTTTGTTAATTCACAGTAAAATGATGCCATCAGAATACAACTATTCATAATTATAAAGCTGAATTATTATGTTTGAGACATGTGCTTGTCGTTTGTCATTGACAGCATTATTAGACCGTTTGTTTTCACTGGTAAAATCAGACATTTGTCATTATCAGATTTCTTCTTGCATTATATTCAACATTACATAAGCTAAAGTAGCTATACTGACACTTTAAACAAGTATTTTCATGCCCAACAGTATGTGTTCGCTATTAAGGAAAAAAAAACATATCAAATACTTGTCGTAATCATAACTGTAAAATGCAATATGATCATTTAAATGATGTGCACACAGGTTTCATTTCCGAGTGCGGCTCATGGCTGCCGTCACTGTGATAAAACACATACACATGCAAATCATTATTTCAGCGGGGCTCTCAAACAATCGCTCTGTGCAACAAACTGAACGTTATTTACAACTCTATTACCTGTTATTCACAGCCTATGCAGCTTCTGTTCACTAAAGTAGCCATCAATGGCGTGCTCAGTAGCTCGTGGTCAGCTCACGTGTGATTTTTCGGCCGTGAATACATCATTACATGAAGACAGAAAGGACGTTTTTGAGTGAATTATACTTTATAAATACAGCATGTGACACTTTTAACAGCATTTGAAGGTGTTCATGTTCCTGAGAGGACTTTTGCGACTGCCTTTGCTTCTCTCCTGACCTTGATAATATAATTGGCTGAATCGTGGAAAAGCTGATTTAAGATCGTGTGTAGGGTCTAATCGAGATCGTGACCTTTTTTCGATTAATCGTGCAGCCCTAGCGTGCGTTATTAAATTCCATAACACTCTCACCAGTCCTCACTCCTTATTTGCGTCTAATACAGGGCTCGACAGTGCGACCATTTCGCTCACATTCACGACTCAAAATATACGTTTTTGAACTGGAAAATGTATTTAGTGGCACATGTGCGATTTTCTTTTTTAATAAGCTTGATTGCTGACTTAATTCACTCGGCCACAGAAAAACAACATGCTCTTCACAATAGCTTATGGTGTATTACAATGGAATACATGACTGTAGCACATGCTGACGCGATCAACAACAGCACCTCTCTACTCCTTTATTTTCTTCACGTCAAGCGGTATTTACATTATTTTGTATATGTTGCTAAGCAACGCAAGGCATCAAATGGCGGCAAAGCTGCACAATGCCTGAGCCTTATAGAAAACATCTTTGCCATGGATGGCATATCGTGGCACATCCAGTGTGAGACCCAATTCAACATCAGCGCTTCCCACACAGACTTTACCTGGGCGGCCGGTTCAGAGAACACTCTGCCACAGACTCACATGCTCTGCATGCAGACCCACAGACGCGCTGAACACAAAACTGCTGTTCTGATTTTGGTTGTAGCTTTGAGAAGAGCGTGAGGACACGCATAAATGAAAAGTCTTTTATTAAATAGACTGACCCAGGTCATTATTTGGGTTGACAATACATCCTCTTTTCCCCGAACATGTCCAAGATTCTGCTTTAGATATTAATTGTATTCGTTTTTGCAACACAATCGTTTTTGCAATACAATCATTTTTGCACAATCTCAGCTTCACTGAAATCACATTTGACTCTAACACCTTGTGATGGAACCTGTAGAGTAAAAACTCACTAAAGAAACCAGATGAGGAGATATAAAACACAAAGCATTATTGTGTATCTATAGAAATGAATATAATCTCTAAGTCTGAGAGACAAAACTATTTAAAAATCCCCTTCACTGAACTATACACTATGTTTAACATGCACATTTGTACTAATTTAAGTTCTGTTGATCTTCTTTCTCTCCTCTATAAACTAGCTAAAACTGTTCTGTAGTCAGCTCTAACTCTGATGTTGTTTTGGACTTTACACCCGACACATGACACACATTGAGCTCTGGTAATCATTACCTCAGATCAAGCTGTCTGTAATCTAGAATGATCTAAACACATTTGCAGAAGCTGTAAACTGAAGCTTTGTCCATCATTTGACCAGGCAATAGCAACACAAATAAATGCATTGTTGTTGGTCTTTGTTCTTCAGAGAAAGTGTTGAAATGATTTAAAAACAGAGTCAATACCTGTGTTTCTCTGAGAGAGAGTCCTTTACTCGCTCCTCTGCCATACTGCAGCTAAAACACCAATGCAGACATTAGCAGAGCTTTCAGGAAACAATCAGCCGCTGACCATCACCTGGAGATGACAATATACTGAGATGAAGAACAGCACACTTTATAGCAATAACAGCTCACTTCACTAACAACACCGCACTCAAACAGACCCGATAGGACAAACTGACTTTCAGTCATTTCACTGCAGATATATATATATAGGATCAGACAGCCATTTAAACACGCTTATACACATATAAACCCCTTTATCATTTTCACAAATCATAATGTAGAAGTGTTAAACTTACATGCAGTAGTACAGTTGCTCTTGTGCAGCAGGAACACAATTTGAGCTCTCGGAGGTTTGGGTAACTGCAGTCTGAAGCAACAGGCGTGGCTAAAGGCAGGGGGGGGTAAAAGATGTTTTATTGGTCAAAGGTTTTATTTTCAGTCAAATGCGTTGGCCAATTAGATTAACATATTAAATAAGCTGATCGTTGAGGTGGATCATTCTACTTTATGATACTGGTGTGAAGGAAAAAAAGATCAAGCGTATGATGTGTGCATGCATGTATACTAGGGTTGGGCATCTAAGCTATAATGCCGATCCGATACGCATCTCGATACAAAGAATACGATCCGATATATTAGCGATACATTTATGACATATTGCGATGCGACACGATACGATTCACACCCATATCACGATACAATGCGATAATTCAGCACTAACTAATTAAATCAAGTTTATGAGATTATGTGAAAGAGGATGCTGTGCCATTGAATGAGTTTGATTATTTATTAACCAAGCAAAACCAATACTTTTTTTACAAACTGGCTCTTCTCTCAGAGCCAGAGTGTCAGTTTACAGTAGAGGGCCATTTTAGGACATATAGCACATATTATTTAAGTATTTTCAAGATAAACAGAATGTATAAGTGCAATATATATTAAATTATACATATTTGCACTCTTTCAACATAAAGGTTGAGCATTGCACAACAAGAATTGTGATTTAACTTTAACTATGAAAACAAGTTTTACAAAGATATATTTTGCCACTGATTATTCAAAACTTAAGGTCGTGAACTAGCAGTGTTATGCTGCTTTGAAACATCACTGTCACTGTAAACAACAGGCTGATAAAAATATAACAAACCAGCAATCTTCTTGCTGTGAGGTGATAAACTACCCACTGTGCCACCGTGACACCCATTATTTTTATCATTATTATTATTAATATTATTATTATAATAATTGAATAAAAATTAACAGGAGGAGGTTTTTAAAACCGCCTAGTGCGGCAGTATAGAGAGGGCGGCGTCCGCAACACCCAGTTATATCCGCGCATAGGGTGGCAGAATAGAGGTCCGCGACACCCGCGCGTCCTCAGTTATATCCGCGCATAGGGCGGAGGAATAGAGGTCCGCGACACCCGCGCGTCCTCAGTTATATCCGCGCATAGGGCGGAGGAATAGAGGTCCGCGACACCCGCGCGTCCTCAGTTATATCTGCGCATAAGGCGGCAGAATAGAGGTCCGCGACACGTCACTTCATTTTCATAACCGTGCACTTTCGTTTTCACATTGGGGTTGAGGGCGGCGTGATCGTCCTCTGCCTAGAGCAGCAGTTCAGCTTGCTCCGGCCCTGCAGATGAACAATGCAATAACATCCGTTATTGGCATAGAGCGCACAAAACTTTTGCGCATGGAAAAAAAAAAAACTTTCAATTCTTTTCTCACCACTTTTGGAGCTGGTAGCTACAGTTCAAGCAGTGCGAAAGCCGGGGATGTAGGAACACTGGAAGATGCTTTCACAACAACACCGTGGCGCCGCTTCAAGTGAGACATCAGATTAGTCGTACTGCCCGCGTATTTTACAGATGCGCGGCACATTTTGCAAATTGCATCAGTCCTGTCAAGTCGTCCATCCTTTTTGCAGAATCCATAATGTTGCCATACTTTAGATTTAAAACTCAGTGGGGAATAAAATGTTTGTTTTGCTTCTCGCGCTTTCTGAGGGCGCACCACTAGCTTCATCCGCACACCTGATACACTGAGTTGTATTGTAAGTGTACACATCCGCAAATCCGTTGCTAAGGCTTACTTTACGTAGGTCGATTAAATTATGCGCCAAAAACAGGTTGACAACACTTGTTAATAAATAAAAAATACATTCTATATTAAAAAAATAAGCTGTATCTCGGAAAAACCGATGCATCTCGCAAAAACCGATGCATCTCGATTTGCTTCCAAAATTTCATTCATCCTCTGCTGCTCTACCGATGCACTCGCATCGTGCACGCGCATGACCGCGTATCGATACATATCGGTTAATCTTCCCATCCCTAATGTATACATATTTTGTAAATATAAAATTAGGTAACACTTTATTTTGATGGTCCCCCTTTAGATAGTCTGTTGACCATAAGTTACTTTTCAAGTTCTTATCTGTTTACTCTCATCTGGGTAGTTACTGTAGATTGTCTTTTAAATGTTTCTAATGTACCCAATTTTCACGAAAACAAACTTCTGTGTGTGAGTGAGAGACAGAGAGAACTGTGAGTGTGTGTGTGTGTGTGTGTGCGCGTGTTAGAGTGTATGAATGTGTGAGAGTGTACGGAGAATGTGTACATAGTACATTACATTAGGTGTGTGCAGGGCAGTGTGTGTGTGTGTGTATGTGCATGTGTGTCTGAGAGAGAGTGTATGTATGTGAGTGAACATGCTGAATTATCTCATCAGTGAAAGAATTTTCTGGTAAAAGGGTCTGACGATGAGTTCTTGTACTGTAGAAACTATTGACATCCATCAAATATCTACAAAAAATACACAAACAATCAAATTTAAATTTCTTACGATTGTGCTAATGCTGGTATACAAGTATTTGCCATTTAAGAGGTAATTATCTTTAAAAGTTGTGATTTCCACAAATAAGTTCTAAAAATTCATTATATTTACTCCAAAACTATCCTAAAAGTGTTGAAAAATAGATATACTTAAGAAATGATCTCAGTATATTCATGAATAAATAACAAGCTGTGTCATATTTATTCTGTGAATTATCAAAAGCTGATGTTTCTCAGCAAACAGTCCATTCAGACTGCAGAAATGCATGATATGAAATCTTTAGTTTTGCTTTTCTACCATAAAGTGACAAATTAACCATTTAGTAGAGCATGTTTTTTTAAAAATTAATACACACACACACTAAATATTTTTTATGACACCAAGTACCATAACTTTGTAAAGTTAGGGCTCTTAGCAGGTAATAAGTCAAAATATATGCTTACCTTGCAAATTTTTCCCAAAAACAGTTCACATGATGTCAGGACAGATTTCCTTGTTTTTAATTTCATTGTAGAAACAATGTTGTGACGAGTGCTTTTGATTAAGTTAGTGACAACTAGTGAATTTTTTTTGGCATAACCTACCTCAACCAAATGATAGAGATGGCTCAATCAGGTTTAGGTAAGTTAGGTACTCCTCTCAATAAGATATGGTCAGTCAAAATATGGTCAACCATTTGGTCGAGCAGGAAGTTAAAGGGATAATATATAAATATTAATATTTTTTAGATTTTAATAAAAAAAAAATTATTGTGTTGTGAACAAAAAATCTATGTATGGAAAGCATCGTCAATACTTGGCTATCGAATTGAACTGAATCAATGGCATAATAATCGTAACCGAACCAAACCGTGAGACCAGTGTAAATTCACACCCCTACTCGTTACAATTATAGACCTTTTCTTGGCAGCTGCACTGAGGTCGCCATAGCGACCAGCGTCTTCTGGAAAAATGTTTAGATCTTTCATTTACAATGTTTATAACCAGTAATTTGCGAAACCCATTTCCGAAAATAGGTTTCAATAGCCTTTTAAGTGAATTATGAAGTGTTTTTGTGACAACTTTGAAAGGTGTGTGTTAAAGCTGATATAATCTGTCAGATCTGTGGTTCAAAAAAAAAAAAGATTTAAAATTAACAAAACAACATGTCTTTTGACTGCTTTCTTTAATAACTACATAACACAATACTTGTACTTTTACTTTCAGTACTTGAGTAGTAAATTTTGAAATAAACTACTTGCAATACTTAATTGAAAAAAAATGTTAAATACTTTATTACTTCCACTTAAGTATGGTGCTTAAAGAGCACTTCTACTCAAGTCACTTTTTGATAGAGTACTTGTACTTTTACTTAAGTCTGGGTCTCTAGTACTTTATACATCTCTGCACCTTTCCCCTTGTGCGCTGTTGGGTCATTTTCATCCATTCTGGGTTAATTTTGAGGCTTAATTTTGGCCAAAACTTTCTCTGTGTTTAAGGAAACGGACTGATATTTGGGTACATCTTTTTCTGACATATTCTGGAAAAATGCTTTGAAATTACAAAACTCAATACACTCTGGGCAAATTTACTCCCTTTTCATTATATTCATGGCCATTTTGTCTTCATTGGCCTCTATTACAACAAAAAAAATTATTGCAAAGTCATGACAGCATATTATCATACATTTATATTTGTTGGTTTTCTGTGACAACAGTCAGCATTGTTTAATTGGTCTTCCTCCCATGGGATGGCAAAAAGAAAATAGGTGAAAGCATAAAGGAGGAAGAGGAGAGTTGAAGAGGGCAGCATCATATGGTGTGTGGAAGAAAGAGAAGTTGACTGAACTGTTGCAGTGCAGGGAAATGAGGAGAGAAACCAGGTTGAGACGAGCAATGTAAACTTAACGATTGGCTGTGAGAAACAAAAAAGCAAAAGTACGTATCGAAGCAAGAGTTTTGTTACTGAAGTGCTGGTGATGTCTGTGAACGAGTACGTCACCAAAGACTTCAGTGCAGTGTACTTTCAGTCAACTTAACGATCTATCTCCCTGGCATGGAGTCAGCTGCCAAAAGCCTTCATCCCGCAGTCGATAACGCAAACTGTTGAGGTCCTCATGTGAAACTTAAAATTTTGTTTACTTTGTTAAACTTTTAAATGACCATTATAGCACATGTTTGTTTGTTATTTGTAGTTCTCAAGTATATTTTGTCAGTAATGGGGTTGCTTTATAGTAAAACATCAAAAGCTGTTCAAATGGTTTTGTTTTACACGTGAGGTCCCACATGGTCAGCTAGTTAAGAGTGGGAGTAGCTGGAAGCGTGTGCAAGTAAACACACAAGGTTTCAATATTGTGTTGTTTCGTGTTTATAAGTGTATGTGCGATCACCCCTTTTCTCTCTCTCTCTCTCTCTCTCTCTCCCACACACCCCCTACATACAAAACCCACAGATACCTTTCGGATGCTTCTGAAAAATGTTTTTAACAGCCCTCCATAAAATGGGTGGAGTACAGACAAACTTTACCAGTTGGAATGTGCGGGGGCTAAAACACCAAGTGAAACGAATCAA